AAACCAGCAAACTGTTTCCTGCTAATTATTTAAAAAGTTTGTGGTTTAGATTAAGCAGGTTTGCAGCTGACATGCATACATGCATGTAAGTATCCCTTTGAGGGTTATTATTTGATAATTAGTTTAATAAAGGTAAATAAAACTTGACATTTTGGCACATAATAATTGTGAATCCAAAAATATCGGTATTGGCAGACATGGAAATTCAGATGTTGGAAATTGGAACCTATAAATCCTGAATCGATTATCTCTATTTTTAAGCCTTGTGATAATTTAATTGCATTCTATTTTTCCACTTCTCTCAAGTTTTCTTATTTCCACAACATGCTGTGATGGTCAGGCTGCAGAGACTGAGAGAGAAAAGGAGGCAGAATCCAAAAAGTGAAAATGAAATATTTCTTTAGTTCCTCTTAATAAACTAGGATATCGAATCAAATGTTCTAAACTAAGAAGAGAGGAAACTAAAGAAAAGATGAGTCTTTATGTCTGATGTTAAGAAACCGTATTTGTCTGTAGACACAATTTTCATTCATCATTTATCTCTCTCCAGCTCAGGTATGTATTTAAGCTCCTATGATTCACAGGCCAGAGTAGCGCGGCTTAACAAATAAAAACATTCTTCAGGATGGAAAAGTATTTTTCTTTTTTTATGTATTTTTCAAGTTTGCGTAGAAGACATAAAAAAGAAAAGTGAAAAGAAAAGAACAAAGGTAAACATAGTTCATGTGTAGGGGATGTGGGGGTCGCGTAGATCTGCTTATATAGATGTGTCTGGCGATCCAGTCTCACTGAGGGGAAAAGTCCTTTCCCATTTCTGTAATCAAGCCACTTTCTCCTAAATTGTTTCAGGTATTTGGACTTGATCCTTAGGTGGAAGGTCATTTTCTCCATTGCGAAGATTCCCTCTACTATTGATTTCCATTTTAGCATTTTCTGCTATCTGCCTTTTTAGCTGCCACTATCAAGATTTCATGGAGATAGATGTCGTTCCTGTGTATCTCTTCACTCTCCAGCCAGCCCGAGTACACAATACGTGGTCATTGCTACAGGCGTAACTTTCTGAAGGACTGGTGTGGACGTCCCCAACAATAATTTCAATACAAAGACTTAACAATATGTGGGACAAATTTATAAATTTGTTTTTTTTCTGCTTTTGAAAGAGGATAATCACAGCTGTAGCTGAAAGGGAAAACATCCGTCAACCGATCCACATTTTTCTGGATGGATTGATGGATGTACTGCAAAAAAACTAAATCTAGATAAGTCTTTTTATTTTTAAAATAAGTGCATTTGTTCTTGAATAAAGGAGGTAAAAGAGACATTCAGCCAATGGAACAAGACAATTTACGCTTAAAATAAGAAAACACTATTGCATCGTCTTATTTCAAGTGCATATTATCTAATTATCTTATTTTAAGAGCAAAATTACTCATTCCATTGGCAAAATTTCTCATTTAACTACTCAAGTTAAGGCTGAATACACTTAATTTAGGAAATGTTTACTTATTTCTAGATCGTTTTAAAACTAGGGAGGCTTTATATATCGCTGTTGGCATTGGGATTTGCTGTTATTCCACCTTTTTTACTTATACATTAATGTCTAACTACCAATAAATACAAATATCAGCGTATTTTGGTTCTTTTGTGTTCTCAACAATAGGAAAGCATCCCATAAATATGTTTGAGCTCAGTTTTGGAAAATACAAACCCTATTGAAAGCGTTTCTGTCGACTTAAGGGTGGATTATACTTCTGCAACCGCACACATCAAATGTCGCTGGGTCTGGTCTTTGGTCGCAAAGCAGTTTTGCTGGTATGCTTCTGCAACGTCGGTCTTGCATTTCTAGGGACGCACGGCAGTTTCCTGCCAAACCGCAAGGGGGAGCCTATTCGAGAACTCACGAGAACTTCGGCGGATGGTCCCGAGAACTTCTTCAGCAGCACCGGCGAAACTGACTGAAGACATTAATGAATAGGAGGTGACCAGCAAACACCCTGTAGTTGTTAAAGAAAACGCTGCAAATATGGTTTGTGCAGTGAAGATAATGCAGCTCATGCATGGCTGCTGTGTCACGTCTGCTTGCTCGTGTGAGGCTTCACTTTTTCACTTTTCACAAACAAGTTTGCGCTTTTGAGACAGTTTTGTTCACATCTCAAGTTTAAACTGTCTGATTTACAAGTTTGCACTTTGCGTTTAATATGACAGTATTGGAATATTTTGAAACACATTTGAATCACTTTCTTTAGAACAGTAGGAATCAAAATAGAATCGATTCAGGACTTCAGTCCTAATCTTGTATCCTATTTTTTCACAGTGGGTTTGTATTTTTGTACATTCCCAAAATATCTGAGAGTGACTGGCATTCATCTCTCCACCAACATTGTTGCTGAGAAGGATAGAAAATTATCTTTAAAAAGCATTAGTTTCTCCAAATAAAAGTTTTAAGACAGCCTGGAAAATAAGAGTAGATCAACTCTTTTTTTCCAACCTATGGTAAAATTGTCTGCAATCTCCAAATGTTTCAAAATAGTGCATTAATGACTCAATAATATGACAACATAAAGGGCTAAGGACGGCCAAGTTTAGGACAGGGTTATTACTGAGCTATGAGCAGCAGGTTGAGGGGGTGTAGTAAGTCTTTCCACCTTTGTTTCAGTCAGAGGAAAAGCAGTGAGCAGCAACAGGTGGAGGAGGGGGCATCAACAAACAGCTTCCTGACACCCCAAACTGTAAACTAAATGAGGAGAAATATCAGCCTTCCAGAAAGATTTCCTTCTTATTCTGATACTTCTGTTGTTTCCCACTTGCTCTGTTATAAACTAAACATGTCCCAGAAGCGCGGTTTTGAAACTCTGTGCAAAACTTTGTTTGTTTTTTAAGCAAAAGGGAACAAACTGCGTCCTTTGAACTGGTTATGGTTTGGAAGTTTTGTTACACGTAGACACAACAGTTGGTTCATCTCTGTGGAGAGCTTGATTTATAGCTCAGAGATGAGTGTTTTAAACCAAATAATCTACTGTTATAGCTTTGAGAATGCTTTTACATCTGGAAAATCCTAACTTTTAGGATGCAATCTGTTCAGTAAAAAAAAAGTTAACTGATTTTTAGATATTATTTCAGTTGAATATGTCAGAATTCTGACTTTAATCTGAGAATTGTGGATCTTAATGTAGATGGGCACCATGAAGGAAGAGATGTGGGAGCTCTCAGCTTCACTGACAAAGATGTGAGTTGTTTGAGATGACCAGTGACACATTGGTGGAAAATGAAGGAATTAGGCGACTTTTTACATGCCTGAGGGGTCCCTGATGATGCTATGTCATTAATGGAAGAGCAGAGGGTGATTAAAACAAGAGAGCTAATGTAGTCAGTAAAATAGACTTGCTACGGCTTGGTAGCGTTCAGAATTCACTCAGAATTCTGAGATTGAAGTCAGAATTTTGAGATTAAAGTCAGAATTTTGAGATTAAAGTCAGAATTTGGGGGAAAAAGTCAGAATTCTGAGGAAAAAAAGTCAGAATTTTGAGAAAAAAGTCAGAATTTTGAGATTAAAGTCAGAATTCTGAGATTAAAGTCAGAATTTTGAGATTAAAGTCAGAATTTTGAGAAAAAAATACATAATTCTGAGATTAAAGTCAGAATTTTGAGAAAAAAGTCAGAATTCTGAGATTAAAGTCAGAATTTTGAGATTAAAGTCAGAATTTTGGGAAAAAAAAGTCAGAATTCTGAGAAGTAAGTCAGAATTTTGAGATTAAAGTCAGAATTTTGGGGAAAAAGTCAGAATTCTGAGGAGAAAAAAGTTAATATTGAGATTAAAGTCAGAATTGTGAGAAACAAATCAGAATTCTGAGATTAAAGTCAGATTTTTGAGAAAAAAATACATAGTTCTGAGATTAAAGTCAAAATTTGAGGGAAAAAGTAAGAATTTTGAGATTAAAGTCAGAATTTTGAGAAAAAAATACATAATTCTGAGATTAAAGTCAGAATTTTGAGAAATAAGTCAGAATTTTGAGATTAAAGTCAGAATTCTGAGGGAAAAAAGTCAGATTTTTGAGAAAAAACTGTCAGAATTCTGACTTTTTTATATTATACAGATATAAAATGTAAAAATCAGTAAACTTTTTTCATTTTTCAGTGACCCTAATCCTCTTCCATGGTTCAGGACTACGATATTTCAGTAAAAACTCAGTTTAACACTTGTTTTAAAGTTTAGAGCAGGATTGAAACTGAGCTGAACCACAGCAGGCCGGGACGTGTAGAGAAATGCATCATCATAATCCAGAGATAACAGCTGTTCACTTAATCTAGACAAGGCCCAGAACATGCAAACAACAAGCCGGGATGTCGTCACCTCTGCTGGGAGCTGCTAGCACCGTGTCATCCGCGTAGTACCGCAGTTATTACCGGGTTTACTCTGTGGGAGCCGCAGGCCGAGGCGACCAGGCCGCAGCTCCGGCGCCCCGTCACCAGGCCTCCGCTCAGAGGAACCGGGAAATAACCGGCTGAAACGGGGAGTCCGGTTCCCGGGTTAGCCTGTCGGCTTCACATCAACTGCAGCGGAGATGTTGAATAAGAAAACAAAGTGAAGAAAGGCTGGAAAAGTGGATGACTTTAAAGCTGTCAGTTTGATCTGAGCTGCTTTACACACCGGGGAGAAAGTGTCAATAAGCTGGAGGAAGGCCCACAAACAGCCGCCTTTAAAGAAGCGAAAACAGGAAGAAAATGAGTGTGAGTGAGGATGAGGAGGTGGAAATGATTTCTGGGAAGTCCAGCTTCACTTTTAATGGCGTTGTTTTTATTTCACCGAGAAAAGTTTCTAACGTCCAGCCGCACCGCTCCCCTTTTTCCTCCCCCCCACCACCGGCCCCGACGGATCAGATCAGCTGCTAACTCGTGTTTATAACCACAGTAAACATGAACGTTACGGTTGGGGGAAAAAAGGGCACAACAAGCCCCTCTGCAGTGCTGCAGGAGGAGATCTGTAGGCAGCTTGTACTCACCGGAGATAACACGGGATCCCCTTCTCACAGGATGCTCCTCCGCTGAGTAAAATAGGGCACGGTGCTCCTCCGCTGCCAGTCAGCGGCCGCTCATCTTTCTCCGGCGAAGCAACTTAAAAGGAGCAAAGAAAAAAACTCCTGCCCTGGACATTCTACACTACAGTCGCAAAATGGTGAATGAAGAGCCGGAGCCTTGACAACCAGCCGCGCCGTCCAATGGCTCACTAAGAAGGAGTACAGTGGCCAATGGGACGGTGTGAAAATGGAGAAAGGGCGGGGCTTTGAGGCCAAACAAATTTGACAGATGGCGCAGTTCGACCAATCAGAGTGTGAGAAAACAGAACAGCTGTTAGAAGATCGAGCCTGCGGACCAATAGGAGAGCTGGAAGTCTATTCAACAACGAGAAGGAAAAGAGGAGCTCTATCCTCTTTTTAAAAATCACGTCTTTATTTTTCCATAATATTTAAACAGCCAGCTACAAATAATAATTATCATGGACTAGAAGAAGCATATACATTAATCAAACTATAATATCCCAAATAAATTAAATTACATTACATTATGACCATTTAAGTCACATAAAAAAATGTAATGACCCTCCCTGATTATATAGCAGCGCCTCCGCGTGTGTAGCGTGACTACTGCGATCCACAGGTGGAGTGTAGTTCCACCTGAATCCACAGAAAACATCAACTCCCAAATTCTCACGGTGCTTTTTCTATATCCTCTTCTTCCTGCCAATCAGAAGCGTTTCAAACAGGACGGCATCCTTTGTCCCGCCCCGTGGCCAATCAGATAAAAATGCGGAAACCATACGTCATCGGAGTGACGTGTGATTGGGTAGGATGATTTAGGTCTGCAGGCCAATGACCGTGTCCTGTGGTGAGGTCACCAAGCTTGTTGCTATCAGCTTAGCTAAACAGGGAAATAAGTATGGCAAGCCAATTTATCATAATATTAAGGCTTTTAGAAGCTGAAATCTATTACTCAGTGTATAGCTTACTTATGGGGGGAAGAGCTTTCCAGAATTTACCTATATTTTATTTTCAGACATATTATAGCTTATTATTCATAAGATAAATGTTACTTTTCAAAATTACGTTTGTGGGGTTGATTATAGCAGAGAAGAGTCAATAATTTACCATAATTTCAAATAGAAAGGGGTCAGAATTCATATTGTAAGACATTTAGTCAATTATTTGACTACAAAGCATTAGAGAAGTCACGTTTCCTATCCTGACTCATCTGTAGCACCAAAAGATCAAACAATAGGCGCCAAAGCATTCAAACGGAAATCTCAGAGCGACAGGAGAAGGAAGGGTTTACATCAGTTTGGTGTCTGGTTGCTTGTGTATCGTTCATCTGGGGAACTCAGGATAGGCTGATCTGGCAGTGTGATGATTTGGGCAACAATCTTGTGAAAAATCTGAAAAGAATCACTCCAATTCGCACCTTGAGCACAATGAACATCTGAGGAACAATAAAGACAAATTCAGACAGAAGCATTGCAAGTTACACTTTATATGGACTATTTGATTAATAAAAGGCAGGATTTGTAAGCACCATCATGGTACCAATTCAATTTCAATTTAGTGTATTTCTATAGCACCAATTCACTCTACATGTCATTTTAAGGCCCTTTACAATTCACCCAGATAATACAGTGAAATTGATACATCTAAGGAAAAGCAGTTGATTGCATCGACTCATTGACTCAAAGGCAACCAATCTCAATCTAAGCATGCTTGTAGCGACAGTGGAGAGGAAACACTCCCTTTTAACATGAAGAAGCCTCCAGCAGAACCAGGCTCAGTGTGAGCGGCCATCTGCTGAGGCCGACTGGGGTTCAAGGAGACAGAAGCAGAGATAGAAAAAGAAGCATAGATACAAAAGGCAACTGTCAACCAGCTCCACAGGGGGCCCCGTCCACTTACCACAGCACATTTTCAGGGGTTAAATTGAGTTCATGTTTTGATGAGTCAGGGCTACTTTGTTAATCGAAGGGGCTACCAATGCATGTTTGTGGGTCTTCCTTGGATTTGCTTCTCAGTTTGGAAAACCTCCAAATTCCCTTTGGTTAGATGCCCAAACCACTGGATGGAATGAACCAGAACCACAGACCAGGATACCGAGCCCTCCAAAAGAATTTCAAGGGACTAAAACCTTCGACCTAAATGCCAGTCATTTGATCATTTGCTACTCGGCAGCAGAGCTCGGCCAAAAGAAACAACTGAAAGTCTCCTCAATGTGGACCCACCACCTGTGGGAATAAATATTCTGGGTATCTGTAAAGTGAACTGGATGGAGGCTGCTGGAATTTAATTTTAAAAAATGAGCTGTTAGAAATTAGTTCAAAGATAAATATTAGGGAAATGACATGCAACAATGTTATTACATTATAACATCTCCCAAAAATTATAACTTTTAGATATTTTACCTCCAACTTGACAATTCAATATGGCTGCCATATGTTGGTAATCAGAGCAGTTGAATGCATAAATGTTCTCTTTCATACCTTTAAATATGTCGTAGACAGCTGACTGTAATTAAACATTGCTAAATTGAGCCATTATTAGAAAATATTTTTCCAATGTCATTATATCAAAAGAACTAATTTTCTTTCTCCAAGGAAATTTATCAATTAAATCACCTGCAGACAACAGCAGATTTTGCAGCACAGCTAGCTGCTGAAGCAGTTAAGGAAAGCTGGTTTAAATCTCTATAGCCTGCTATCCAAGAGGTTGTGGGTTTGTTTTTGTTTTTGCCACTTAAATCTTAACTTATTCCTGTTTGGCTGTGACTCCATCCTGGAGAGAAATATCAGCCGTGCTGCTGCCATCAACACCTTTGTTTATAGATGTTGGAGATCGGCCTGTTTTTCAGTGTAGTCCTGTTTTTCACTGTGACTAACTGGCTGTGTGTTTCCTGGACGGGCCCGCCTTTTACAGCTGTTTTTTCTATCTCTGCTTCCGTCTCCTTGAACCCCAGTCGGCCTCAGCAGATGGCCGCTCACACTGAGCCTGGTTCTGCTGGAGGTTTCTTCCTGTTAAAAGGGAGTTTTTCCTCCCCACTGTCACTACAAGCATGCTTAGTGTGAGGGATTGTATTCGAGTCAATGAGTCGATTCAATCAGCTGGTTTTCCTTAGATTGAAAACTTTGAATCAATTTGACTGGATGATCTGATTGAACTGTAAAGTGCCTTGAGATGACATGTGTTGTGAATTTCAGTAGAAATAAACTGAATTGAATTGAATTAAAAACACATTTTGGAAGAAAATTCTTTTGCTTAAAAACTGGGATCAGTTTGTAAGCAAAAGAAGTCTTTGAGTTCATGAAAGTCATAATAATAAGGTTCAGAGACTCCAGTGCAAATAAAACTGAAAACTAAAACAGGTTATCACACATAAAAAATGAGTTTGATTTTATGTCACGTTAGACTGCCATATAGAGCCATCCCAGTGAGTTTATTTGGGTATTTAGTCTCAGAAAAAGTTACAGATAAACATTCCTGGTTCTCCAGCATGTAAAGAGGAGCTCAGCATGTACACCGAGTGCACAAACACACCAGCCTGCACTCCTATCACCATTAGGGATTTTATTTGACAGACCAATACCATCACATTTCTAATGCTAACACACCTATAAACCAAACCATTTACCCTTAAAACAGGCATCCAGCGTATTAGGACATTATTTGGTCCCCATAGGCCTAATGGTCCTCAGAAGGTTGGTGAGTTCACAAGAAAAAGCCCTAAATAGAACATAAACAAGTACCCAAACACACAGACTACAACCAACAGCCTCTCAATAATGGACCCATGAAACGTCCTGCTGGTTGTTTTCTTTAGCCCACAGATGGCCAGTTTGATCAGCGATGATACAGAGCTGGCTGGCTGCAGCGTTGCAGCATGGGCACCGCAAACAAGCATGTACACACACACACACACGCAGACAATCACAGAGCAGTTAAGTTTGAACACGCCTCGGTGTTACATAAGCTGTACGTGTAGTGGAGCACACGCAGCCTTTTCTGCAGCCGGTTCTGAGCGTGCAAACAGAAGAGGCACAGACACATTAGTCTGGCATTCATGCACAGGCCAGTTTGTATTGTACACATTTCAAAGCCATAATAGGTGCAACATGTGATTCTTAAATCTGTGAAAACACAGAGAAAGAGAGAGAATCTGTGAGATCTTCAGGAACCATGTTTAGCCATTAAATGGCAGTTTAATGGGTGGATGGCTGCATAAGCAGAGCCATTTGTGAATGAGCTCCGTAAATCTGGCAGGTTTTAGCACCCCTGAGTACTTTCTAAGAATGAATCAGGAAGCTGCAGACTCTAATCACCCCCCCACAGAAAATCCCAGTCACTTTACACTCAATGCATTACAGCCACTTAGCTCCTGAACCGCTCCACAGACCACGCACTCCACTGGACCCATCACCCTAAACTCTCCGACTGAAGTGTACATTTAGAAAAGACCTGTCGACTCTTCTGTGACATGAAAAATATGTTTAAATGGGACGGATATTCATCACATCCATCGACCTGCACCTGTATAATAATAATACTTGATAGCCTTTATGCATCAGAGTCGTTTTACAGTTTCTTTTAGCTCAGAATTTGTAAGTAAATCATAATATAACACATGATTAAACTGAGAGCCTCGGGATCTTGTCTAAGTGTAAAAGGACAGCAGTAATATGGAACTAATAGGATAACAGAATTGAAATAAAAAGTTTGATCTGGGAGCCTGAAATGAGATTTTTACATTTGATTTAATTTCTGACACATGAGCAGCTCAACTCATGCAGTCAATTCTTAGTCATAGTTTAAATGTGATTCCAGGCAGTCACATTAGTCATGTTTTATTACATTAGCTTGATTTAAGATGGTGATCTTTGTAATATGTCCCATTTTTCTGCAGACTGGTCTTTAGGTGCCCAGCAGTGGAGGCCATCTTTGCAGCTGTGCTTTCTTCTTCCTCAGGCGTTGGGTTACGTCTGGAATGCAGAATGTGGTTTTCCATGGTCTTAGAGGGAAATGCTTGGTCATTCCTGTGAAGGATGTGAAGCTGAAGGGAGCATATGTTGTACTGTTGGACCTCATGCCACCACAGATCCAGACTGCAGAGGATTGGTGCCGACAGCAGGCTGGATGTTTTCCTCTTTCCTCGGTTTGTTCCAACAAAGATCTGGGATTCTGATCTGTCCGACCACGGCCAACGTTCCCACTGTTTAATGGTCCATCATGAAAAAAACTGCATCTGTCGCTCTAATTAAAACAAGGAATAAAGGAGTTTAATGTCTTCATATGCAAGAAGACGATCAAACTGGATAAATTATTTACATACATTTGTTTTTTTT